TTGATATATTGTAAGGCAGTAAAATAAGGGCTACAATTCTCTAATATTTTGTCAGAAAATTTGTGTTTGCAAGTCAGAGCCGCTCATTATTTAGAGGAACTGTCTCCAAGTTTCATATTTTCGTGGACAAAAATAGCCAGCATTTTTGCATATTTCAAGTGCGTTGTTAGTTAAAATGCTGTTCACGTGAAAATGAAACTTGAAGACAATACCCCTGAATAGACCTTGTCACGGTTTTCGATGCCATCTTGACGAGTAGGCAAAAGTGTGAGAAATTACAGTGTTTGCATTAGAATCTAATGTCGAATATTTTCCGTAAAACGGCTAGCGCTGTTCTGATAAAAATATCAATTGTAAACTAAACCTACAAAACAAAGGATTGTACCTAAAAAATTTTTTGGGCGTGCCTGTGCTAAAATTTCTCCAGAGGCTTGCTTTAGATTTTCCAAGTAATACTAAACAATGTTTTTCACATTGTGCGTTGCCTTTTCCAGAATTACAACTATCAGCTACCTCAGTAACAACTTCTTTAAGGTCACTTAGGCCCGGTTCAGACGCCGAACTTTTCATGAGCCGAACCTAATTCGAATTAAGGCCGACCCAAATTATTTAGACCGGCTGAATTGATTCAGACGCCGATCTTAATTCCAGCCGAACTAAATTCAGAAGGAGAAAAATGCTCATTTCGGTCAAACTACTTACAAAATACGTTAAAATAATTCATGCATTAGGTTCGGTACATGAAAAGTTCGGCGTCTGAATCAAAGCCGTTCCAAAGTCGCTCCAAAGGCGAAATTCCCGGCTGGGCCAGGCGAAAAGAACGGCTGAGCCGTTCCAAATTGAAACAGGCGTTCCTAATTCACTGCTAATTGATTCAGACGCCGAACTTTTCATGTACTTAATTCAATGTATTAGGTTCGGCTCATGAAAAGTTTGGCGTCTGAACCGGGCCTTAATTACCGAAGAACTCCAAAAGGTGCTTATCTCAGCATAATACTGGTGAATTTTGTTTAAGGCAAATTTTTGGTAGTCAGCGCACACCTTGTGTACCGATGAAGATCACTCAAGGTCAACAAATGAACTAGATGATTCTGTGGTTGACACGTACGCAGGGAAGAATGGAACTGCAGAAATTAAAAACAAAAAACGCTTGCACGGTCAGCATTAGTCATGAGTGCCCATTACATTTTAATAAGGGGATTCCCCTCCACTAGGCGCGTTTAAATATTCCAGAGGCGTGTAGCCTCTCACGCAAACGTGATAGATCGAGTCTGCTCGCAGACGTTTCTCTCTGGTGTGTTTTTTAGCCTTCCTGAAGGTACTTGGACTCAGATAGTAGGTGAGTTTAAAAAAACGCCTTAAAATTTATTTTTGACCTACTATTTTGCTTTGCAAACTTGAGCGATTCTTGTTACTTGGCCGGTTATTTTAACACTGCACACTGAGCCTTGAGCTCTGCCTTTCGCGTGTGGCAGTTAATACAAAATAGGTTAGGTATTCACAATCAAAGCTTCACGACTTGCAAAGATAAGACGCATTTTTATGCATTTGTTTCATTTGATAAACTTTACATCATTTCATTTTGCTCTATGATTAGGGATCCATGAAATTAGAACGCTCACTCGCACCAATCACAACAGAAAGGACAAGTATTGCTTTGCTTTTACAGTTGATTGTGGTAAGTTCTTTTCAGTTGCCACAGATTTATTGTTCATTGTACACAATCTGCACTATGGACGCTTTTTACTGTTTTTATAATCCGTGTATAATGTAGCCTACGCGAAGCCTCTCGTGTCAAGGATTTTGTTGGCGGCGAAGCATACCTGACGCCAGTACCAATCAATCTGGAAAGTTTTGAGTCCCTGAAATTTAAAGAAATTTGCTTCACGTGGCTACCAAAGGTGATCCATTAAACTTTAGGCGTTTTCAAATTGCAATTTTGATCTGAACACAAAATAGAGTTTGAACTGTGGCAATTTATCCGACGACGGTCTACTCATACTTAAACCCATGTCACATGCTGTTAGCCTCGATTTCGTTCTAACATGGCGAACAGCCTACAACATCAGATCATCATGTGATTTTGTTTCGCAATACCGAAGCTCATTTCAGTTGAATATCCTACCGAAGTTAACGTCAGCTGAATATCCTACCGAAATTTCATACGTCCTCTCGAGTCGCATTTACGGTGAAAAATCGCTTGAAACTTTACTCAGCTAGCTTTTACTGTATTTTTTATCATTGTTTATCGGTAATTTTCGGTTTTATGATTAGAATGGTGACTGCTGGCAGACATTTAACCAGAAAAGAATAATTATTTTGTATTTTTTGGCAGGTGTCTATCAGGGTAAAATCATCATGTATTGAGGAAGACTGTGCAGACCCAGCCATAAAAGTAATCAGCCGCTCTTCAGGGGAGTGTGTGACATGTTTCCGATGCTCACCATGTCCAGAGGGACAAAGACTGTCGGTGGCATGTCCCTCAACTGTTTTAGAGGGCACAGACATCCATTGTGTTCCTATGGTGAAGACAGACCCTTTAAGTGTGTCAATTTCCAGAGCTAGTGCCTATGCCACAGATGTTTTTTTTACCCTTCTGGCTTCCCCGTCACTCATATCTTTGTATTCAAGTCCCACTGGAACCAGGCAGATCACTGAGACAGCAGTCACTTATAGCCACATCCATAATCAGCCTAGTGTTTCTGCCACCATTTCAACTGGTTCTCATTCCTCAATAGCTGTTGCTTCGTTAGAGACCAAGGAAGGTGATGACTCAGAAACTCGACAAGATTCAAAGGTGACAGTAGCTACCTTATCAGGCTGTGGTGTAGCTCTGATATTCACCATTGTGGCTATTGTTTATATTTTAAAGAAAAGAGGATCAACCACCTTTTGTTCCCTATGTAGTAACAATGAGGAAGCTAGGCCAGACTTAACTTCAGGTTCTGGGGACAGTGAATCATGTTCTGTACTCTTATCTGCTGAAGACGACACTGCCTTGTATGTAAACCAAAATCTTAAGGATGCTCAACAGGATTCCACATGTCAAGAAAATGACAGTCAACCTTTGCAGCATATTGGCCAGACCCTTTCTGATGATGGTACCATTCCACCATCTCTATATGATTGCAGCCTTGGAGATGGTATAATAATTACCAGTATGTTATTGATATAAATATTTTTTTCAGTTATTGAAATAAAATACACCGTGAATGGCTGCCTGTAACAGTTCTTGTCTGTGTCAGAGGTGGTAGCTTCAACTTAAAGACAGCAGGTCTTTGTGGCATTGAAGGCTGTTGAATCATTTTAATCCTTATAGTTCTAACAGCAGAAAACAAACTTATATGCAAGAAATTTTAATCAGGAAGGATGAACTTTATTTAGGACATTAATAATGTAATTCTGACATGATCAAAAATAATATTTTCATCCTAACAGATTGTCAACAAAGTGCAACCAGTGAGGGTGAAACAGGTTCAGATGTTGCTGGATCATCACAAGATCCTACATTAGTGGCTTCACCAGAAAAGCCTTCATCACTGAACATAGATTTAAAACCCATTGCTGTTCCACCATATACATGTATTACCAGTACACCCAAATGCAGTGTGTACAATATAAACTTCATACAAACAACTGGAGGTAAGAACAATATTGTTACGTGATACCACCAATCACTAAATGATTGGCCATAATAAACTGGTTTCAGGAGGTTTACTTTATGTCACCAAAAGTGAGAAAATGTACATAAAAACCATATTTTCTTACACACAATTTGAAAGTTTTGTTTCTTTTTTTTAAAATGGGAAGGACGGGGTGTACATTAACTAATTAATGGAATGGCCCTAATCAGGGTCGGCCAGGGTTTTTGGGTATACACAGGGTATTTAATTTCAGGTATACAGTATTTTTATGCTTAAAATTTGGTATGAAGTATTCCCTCACGACCAATTTTGGGTGTAAAGTATACTGTGTTTTTCTTAATTTTGGTATTTTACATGAGTTTTAGTATAATTTTTGGTATATTGTAAGGTTTAATCCTGCCTAATCAAGTTTCTGTCTTTATTTGCCTGTTTCTTGGCAAGTTCAAGATATGTTAAGGGATATTTACCAGTAGTCTAGCTGATGTTCTTCAAATAGCAGATGTCATCCATCAAGTTCTATTCTTGCTGTTCTTGCTATGTTTTTAGGTAGTAGATCAGCTATTTCTTTGTTACAAAATATGTGAAATGTTCAGCCATTTTGTGACACTCTTATGCTACCCTATGTCCCCAGGGCTTTGTTTGCCATCCCTTTTTTTAGTACTTATTCTGTGCTATTGACATCATTTTCCAAAGCCTGCAAATGTCTTCCAAATTTTGTTAATGATAGTTCGTTATGAAGGATAAGCTGTGGGATTTGAGCCAGTCAGAAAGGGAGAAATAGTTTGAATGAATAATAACTTTTGTTCCTTCATTTTAATGTTGATTTCTTCTGTGCAGTGTTTTTTGAACATGACATACAACTTAGACTATCTGAGCAAGGCACGTTTGGTAACAACAAGGCACAGACTTAATTAATATGGGCAAAATTCTCTTCAATAAAACTACCGGTAATAGTAGAGGTGTACTTAAAGTGTTCCTGATAGAGACCCTTGTGATCCCAACTTTGTTGTGGGAAAAATATCCAAAAAGATGCTGTTATACAGAAAATACACAGGAGGTTTGTCTGAGTTGATTTCAGTCTTTCCTTCATTTACAGCTTCCCATGACATTTTCTCGGCTTTTGATTCACGGCATGTGAATGCTAATGATGTGCATAAACAAAAGCTGGACAAAAAGTGGCCAACCCTTTCCCAAGCAGAGAAGTACAGTACTAAAATGCAGGAGGTACCATTTCATCTCTACCACAAAGTTTGTCTGGAGCTTGATATCTCAAGATTTGATGGTAAAGATGTGAGAGAGTTTGCCAGTAAAAAGGGCATTACAGTTCCAGAATTTGCACGCCTTCAACAGGCTGCTAAAATACACAACACCACAACAACTTTTATCATTTTACAACAGACTCCTGGAATAACTGTTGGGGATTTTGTCAATATAATGACAGAAATGGGGAGACAGGACATAGCAGATTTAATAAATTAATGGTAGGGGCTAATTTTGTTTGCTTATTTACATGCACAGTGAGGAAGTTACAAATAGCTTGTTGTCTGGCATTTTCCTGGCTGGGCCAGGTGGGAAGGTACAGCTGAGCTGGAAACTAAAAGATAAATAGAATGTAGGACTTAATCAACACACTTATTTGTCTTGTAAAACCATTGGCATTAGAACCTGGTCTGACCTTTAAGTTAACGTATTTATAAAACAGTTACTAATAACTATAGTATGGTGGCCCAGAAGGGTCATACATGCAAATTAAAAATGTTCCTGCAAACTAAAAATTTTACCTGCAAATTAAAAATGTTGCTGCACATTAAAAATAGGACATGCAAATTAAAAATTGTACATGCAAACTAAATATATTACAAACATGAAACATGAATGGGCCGATGGCTGTAAGGCCAGGTCACACAGCTCGGACCAGGTCCTCATCGATATGTTTTCTATTTTCAATTTGCAGCGCAATTTTTAGTTTACATAAACTATATTTAATTTGCAGGTAATATTTTTAGTTTACATGTACAATTTTTAATTTGCATGTACTATTTTTATTTTGCAGCAACATTTTTAATTTGCATGTGTGACCCTTCTGGGCCACCGTACTATAGGTTTCCCTTTTTGACAAATTGTACGTGTGTAAGGCTGATTGTTGTCAAATTTCAATGGATATAACTAGATTTGCAGAGAATATAATAACTTAATAGTACACTATTATCAAAGGATAAGGTTACAAAATGGCAAATCAATGTGTATCCTGTAGTTTGGTAGAACCATTTTGAGATCCTTACAGATCAGTATTAACTTTTGTGAAATATTATAATGTATTGTTAAAATGTCTGCTGTGAAATGTAAGTAAAAGAAGACTTAGGCAACCACATTATAATAGATGTAGTGACACTAGCTGTTTTACGTTAAAGGCTCTTACCCACAGGGAAACAACTTTTTTGTGTGCGACCAACAATTGTTCACAAGGTGCAATTGCCTCAGGAAGATTTCCATGGATCCATAAAAAAGAACAAAAGAATTCCCCATGACACTTTCCTAGGTAATTTCTTTGGATTAATAAGAATCCAAAGCGGCTCAACCAATCAATCTACCAAACAGTAGAACTCACATGTTGTTAATAAATTTGCTTTGTTCATCTTGATGCCAAATCCTCTGAGTATGAGAAACAGTGTTCTGTTCAACAACACAAATATTTTTACTTTTAATAGACTCAAACAGACCTATTCAGCTAACTCAATGTTGTACCCAATTCAAATTTCCCTTGGTTAATATTCTTTGTGTATTGTGTTTGCATTATAATGTGGCATTCACATTTACAGCTGTAAATGATATGGAAATTCCTGAAACAAAACGTTTTATTCGTAAAGATTGGGTACAACATTGAGTTAGCCAGTTGGTCTATGAAAGTACTTCGAGATACTCGGAAGTCAAAAATATTTTATTCTTTCCTCAAGAAGTTGTTGGTACCAGTTTTGAAGACCTGTGCTTTGTTTTGTGAGCGAGAAGTTGCTTTTTTTAAGTGCAAATGAAGTGGACATGAATCACTACTGCACACATAATTTATTAATGAGGAGGTTTTATTTCAAAAAATAGTGATAAATGGTCGCCAAGGAAGTTTATCGTGAATTGGGGTTCAAGTGTTATCTTCCCCTTTGGGAAATTAATGAGTGTAACTTTATTCAAGCATAAAAGCAATCAAAACCCAAAGCAAATCCAAACCAAGCTATTTCCCTTAGGGGACTGTTTTGCTAAAAAGGGCTAGTGTAACGGCACCTTATGTTTGTGGTATCTTTGCATCAAGAATATCATACTAGTCATTTGCTATTTAAAAAATTCTTTTTTTCAATTCAACATAATAAAGTGTGCGAGTTTTTTTTCTAGACTAGCTGCCTCATGTTCTGATAGATAGTGTAACTTTCAACCACTCCTGTATAGATGACTAAATGATCGCTGTCAATATTTTTGTTATTTCACTGTTTTATAAGCTTATTGCTTAGTGTCTTCATCTGTTTATAAACATATTTGCAAATAAAAATTTGTACTCTAGTTTAAGCAATTTCCTATCGCAGTTAGCTTAATTTTATTTGTCTTTGATTCTCAGAAATGCAATGATTAAATAAAAGTCCAATAAAGAAAGTTACGTGCCTGAAGGATATATTCAACATGAGGCGGAGTATCTTATGAAGAATTATTGAGATCGAGGAGGGTGTTATCAGCCGAGGCAGATAACACCCTCCTTGATCTTCATAATTCTTCATATGATACGAAAGCCGATTGAATAATTCTTTTATTATTCATTCAAAATAAATCCTAGTTTAAAAACATAGCTAAAACATGCTTTTCTCCATCCATGTTAAGTTCATCTTCGACAGTGCATGTTTAGGGTTCTTCAGCTCCTCAAATATTCTCCAAATAGCAGATCTCGCCCTACGAGTTGTCTTCCTGCTGTTCCTGCCATGTTTTTAGCTATTTTTTCGCCTAGTTCTTACTCTTGAAACGAGTGAAATGTCTACCATTTTTGTTTTCATAACCAAAACAACTCAACCTTGTCCCCAGGTCTTCTCGGTTAACGGTGCATTAACCTGCAAGGAAGCCGCACTTTTGACGTCATCGGTTGGTTAATTGCAAAATTTCTTCCAAATTTGGTCATCAGTAGCTGGTTATGGTGAATTATGCGTGTGCTTTTAGCCAATCAGAATCGGGGAAACATTTTGAACGAATAATAATGAGTGTTAAATAATGGCCTTGTTTAGAATTCTGGGCCGAGTTGTTCAAAAGGGGGGTTAAGATAACCCAGGGTTAGCGCGAGATTTGAATTCAGATTTGAAAGCTTTAAAAGCATTTCAGTTTTAATTCTTTTTGTCTACTGGTTGATGATTGGAAGTTCTAAAAATTGCCCGAGAAAATGCTTTTGAACCCAAGAAAGAGAAACCCGGGTTAAGCGCTAACCGGCTTTCGAATAACTGGGCACTGGTTTTCAACTGGAAACATACCTGTATCTAGATGAAAAATAAAATAAAATCACTGATGTCATCTGAACTGTAATCTGACAACTACCAAGTGCGGGAACTGTTCTAAATCCTTCATGCGTCGCTATTCACTGACGCACTGGACTCAGCCTTACGATGGCAGGCTAGGGTTCCCTTCACTTTCCCAGACATGTTAACTCTTTGCTGTAAAATCTCGGTTGGTAGGTCTGCAAGAGCGACAAAGAACAGCGCAAATACAACAGTAAAATACCGACAAGGACGAAGTATGCTGAACGATGGGTTTTGACATTCAGACATCATAGGGACATACGTACCACCCCTCCCCTACGAGGGCCTCATTGTTTCCCGGAATGTGAAGGAACACGTAATAGATTCTGTTTTTCAAAAGCACGAAATGACACTGAAATGCTGTTGTAGGTTTTCAAAATGTATTTTTCAATAGACCAACTCCTGCGTTATTAACTTAATCGCAGAGAGGACTAGCGTGCAAATGAACAAAAACAAAGGTCCTGGCCAGGGCCCTGACCAGGGTAAATGTTCAATAGCCGTAAAGTCGTCAGGGGCAACCCAATGTAAAAACGTATAAACTATAAATTTTTCTCACGATTTCGGTGATATTCCTAAAAACGGGCAAACACAGTAATTTTCGAATTAATTCCTTCCAAGTAGTAGATGGATGACGAATTTTACAGTTTAAAAGAAAAACTGAAAAATTTTAAAGAGTTTATATGGTTTTGGGGGACGCTGTCACAAAATTATAGACGTTTGTATGGATCTTTAACCATGTTTCAAGAGTCATAACTTGGTTACTGTTCAATTTTAGAGCACCAAACTTGGTCAAATAACCAATCTCAACATGACCTTTTCTATGGTGGTGTCAGTTTATCGATTAGTTTAAATTTGAAACTCGCCCCAGTTCCCTACGCAACTCCGAAATGGCTAATTCTCGGAAAATATCTGTTCGGAAGACGATTTGAGATCTCGAATTTTCGGAACATTTGTTGTAAAATTTCTTGCTTGCCTGCCTCTCCTAGCATTTTCGAACATCTAAAAAATGGTGTAATTGTCCATTTTTAAAGGTAACTTTTGATCCCTATAATTTTTGGATCACTAGACTTTCAGCTAGAAAATCCGAACAGATGAAAAATTTTTAGGGGATAAAAATATGCCTTTATCTACCGTTTAAATGCTGAAATACGTTCAACAATGCTATGTTTAAGTGGTTTTGAACTATATTCTCGTTGGGTGCCCCTGAGCCGTAGGGCGTACAGCAGAAGACCAACTGAAGGAGACAACGCGCGAAGCCAGCAAGACTGGTAAAGGTTTCATCAATGTCAAACCCTGGAAATGATGAGGATACCGATTTGCCGAGTTAGGATTTCGAGTTGGATTTCGAGATAGGATTTTCAAGTTGGATTTCGAGCTAGGATCTCCTGGGTGTCGGAGACTTTTCTCTACGCGGTTTCTAGTTTCGGTCTGCCGCCCGCCCCCGGTGGCCTAAAGGTCGAACAGGTATCGGCATGCGGCCAACCCCGAAACATCTCCGCCGCACAATCGTACCCTGGGTACCAGAAGTTTCTCTCTCGCGTGCGGCGGGAATTTTCGTTGTTGGCCGAAGGCCGAGCGAGAAAAATCCTCTGGGACCCAGGGTAGAGTTAGGATTGAGGAGGGGGATACCTATTTGCCAAGTTAGGATATCGAGTTGGATTTCGGCAGGAGCCTATGATAGGCTCCTGATTTCGAGTTAGGATGTGAGCCCGGGGGGACTCCCATATGAAAGGAGCGGGGATGCTCATCGGAAACTTTTAATTATAACCCCAAACAGGAGCCTATCAAATTTGATGGGCTCCTACCCCAAAGGGAGACCAATCTGGGCGTGGCCTACCTTTTTTTACCTCTAAAAAAAAACTGAATCGAGTAAATAAAACGAAATGAGAATATACAATTTTTAAATATTTCTTCACCTTCTAAGAAATAAAGAAAGAATAAAAGAGAATCTGTAGGTAGAGATTGTGAACAATTATATATTGAAAAAGCAAAAACCATGCAGCCACATGGCATAAACAGAAAGGACGACCGTTAAATTTATTATTATTATTATTATTTTTATTTATTTATTATTTTACTTTAATTTATTATTATTATTATTTTATTTTTTGTTATTTTTTTATACAAATTTTCTCCTTATTTTGACTTTTTTGGCAATAGAAACTAGGTCGACAGTCAACTAGATCATCGTATCGGGCGTGACAAAATGCACGCTACCTTGGCCCGCCCATTATGTAACGTCCTGATTAAGCACTTTATTCCCCAACAGTCGTGTAATTGTTTCAGGAATGTGAAAATTTTCAAATTTTTAAAAACATATCTTAGTTTTAAAAAATTTTTGAATGTCACCTGACAGTTTCCCGCGTATGCCGCGCCATATGTATGGCTCTTATCAGAGACACGTGATCATTTATATGCAATCACATTGGAAGAATTTTTTTTTAGGGGAATCCCCGAGCAGAAAATGGTGCAAGAACCTCTAACTGGCCCAACGAACCGGTTTTAAGTTAATTTTATGTTGCTTGCCTATTTTGCTAGGCGCTTTATTAACTCTCGACTCTTTTATTGCAAAGAGCCAATTGGTTTATCTTTGTGAGGTGTGAGACTAAGGTATATTTTGTGTTTTCCAAACTTGCGTATTATATCGTATTCCATATCACATATTCCGAACGTGAGCTATATCCCTAGAGGGTCGTTTGACATGCCGATATAGACGTATCGATCGACGCGTGAACTACAAATTCTAATTCAGTTATCGTTTATTTTTACTGAATGTCTTGGTAACCTAACTCCTTTTTAAACTGTTTGCTTTTTGTGTGTGTTTTAGGGGTTGCTGGAAAGAATGGGTTCAATGTCTTCAATAAACCAGGGACGTATTTGGATACTAGTAAGTTACATGAAATTGACAACCTAACACGTATTATTAGATCTGCAAGCAGAGGTAGCTTTTTGTTGCGTCTTTCTATCTAGTAAATCGATAGTAAAAAACGACAACGATTATGTAAGGGTTAAACTACAAGAAAGCAATACAAAAATCGAATATTCAATAGCGATATTGAATGGAATTGCGATATACTTTGTGTACATCAATAAGCTTATATTCCTTCATCATGTCACTGCTTTATGCTCGTGGTACAATATTGTTAGCTTCTGACGAAAACGACATTCGAAGAAATAGGTTTTCCAAATGGTAAATTTGAAAACCACATAAATCACGTCTTAACAGATAGAAAGAGCCCATCAATGTTGTACATAGCTGGTAATCACGTAACTGTTGTGGTTCAAATTTAATCTTTGGTTTAAATTTTTCAAACCGGTTTAAATTTTTCAAATCTAGTTGTATCACCAAGTAGTTTGTTAAGGAGTATCTTTCACTCAACTATGGATTTAGCGTTAATACACTTATACAATGCTCTTAGAGTTTGAGTGGTGTTCCCGGAATAGTACTTCCTTAATTTTTTATGACAGGGATGCTTCTTTCCTCGACACTCAGAGCATCTGTTGTGCGGAATCTTCTTACTCCTGACCTTGCAAAGACATCTACAGTTGAAAATTAAACTAGAATGGCCTCTAAATCTGACAACCTCAAGTGTTAGATTTTCGGGCTGAATCTCCACAATGCATCACAATTATAACGATAATTTTTTATATTATTAAGACATTTTTTTTTATCATGTTTGTTGCTTAAGTTTTAATTCCCATAAGCGGCAACGCTTTCATCACCATCGTGTTGAAATAAAAGTTATTGTATATTTGTGATTTTAATTCATTTTTGCTCCTAAGAGGTACCGATTCTGGTAAAGACATTGGGAAATAAGGACATACTGTTACCCCCACCCCCACCCCTCCTCTCCCTCATGCTTTTCTGCAATCTGAATGATTTTTGGGGAGGGGCTGTCAGTTCACTTCTATCAAAATGGTCCTCACTACTGCACTTCTAAATAATATAACTGTTAAATTTCTGTTTTTTTCTCAGGTCATCCTAGTTTATGGGTCTAGTGTTGTAAGCTGCAAACGACAAAAGCCAAAACATGATGAAATTGAGAGAGTGATCAACAAGACTCAATCCGTAATCTGGAAATGCTCAGTTTCAGAGTGTCATCCAGGGAGTGGACTGAGTTTTCCCTGTGGTGTTAGTATTCCCTTCAGTGAATCAATTGAGTGTGTCTACTGTGTAAAAGGGGCAAATTACTCTGAGACAAATGATTATTCTCAGTGTAAAAGCTGTAGAGAGTGCAGTCCACATGAAATGTCATCAGGACATTGCACCACCACAGAGGATACTACCAGATGTTTAAAAATGTGCGATAAGGGTTTTTATTGGAATAAAATAACTGACTCATGTGATCCATGCAGTGACTGCTGCAGACAACCATTGGCACACCATGAGAAGCAGTGTGAGGATTCTGGTCTTCCTGTGTCACATCAGTGTCGGCAAAGCCATGTCCAATGTCAGCATCCTACAGGCACGTTCAAAACTGATGGAAAACTGTTTCAGCCTGATGATCACAAAGTAAATCGCCTTTCTTCTTCTAGTATTGCTGGCATCGTGGTTAGCTGTGTTTTATTAGTTGTGATGATAATTGTTCTTGGCTTTGTGACTCACAAATGGTGTGACTGGCAGGAAGTCAAAACTATTCTTAAAAGAGACTACTGTTGCTTCAATCAGGGAAAAACAGAGACTGTTTACTCCTACAACCCAAATGATAATGATGCTGCCTTAGAATCAGCCTCTTGCTCACAGAAAAATGGAAGAGGACCAGGCCATTTGGAAGAGGCTAATAAGAAAGGACTTTTGACATCAGGTTAGTACAAAACAAAGACTCCTAGGCCTTTTTTATAAGAAAAAAAATGTGTAGTTTCATATTTTAATACAGTCAAGTCTTCAAGACAGACACCTTTAGGACCAGCATTATTGTCCATCTAAGAGTGATGTCTGCCTTAATATAGAGAGTAAGATAAAGGGAGTAAAGAAAGGCAGGGACCAACTCTAGGTGTCTATTTTACCCAGGTGTCCTTCTTAATAATATTGACTCCGTTAAGACGAGTCAACTGTATCCCTGCCCCTACAAACAGAAGGTTGTTAAAAACGTTTGCTAAAGGGAAATTAAATGGTGAGGTCTGATGGAAGAATTTGATAGCAAGGGGGTGAGGAATGCAAAAAAAACAGACAGTTTCATGGGAGGGTTATCATAAATACCCTGAGACTACAGAAATTCCAGGAGGGTGGTTTTTAGGACAAAAGACACAGCTATTATTTGTCAATCCTTTAATTGGATCAAAAAAGTACAATTTACCTGGGTGTAGAGGTTATGTGAACGGCTATTGGGCCCAGTGTCACAAATAGCTGTAACAACTTTTGATTCATTCTCAGTAAAATTTTAAAAAATGATGTATGTTGTAGTTGTTTATTGCTTTATTATATTTCATAACTAAAGAAGGAGAAGGAAGCGTACTTAAAAGGAATTCTACATTTGTCTAGTGACAATGTGAGTTGTTGTTCCGAGAGGATACAGCAGTGGTTTCTCCAGCTGGCCAGACACAATGCTATGAACTCTCCCTTTGTACTGTAGTGTCTGGCCTGGAGAAACCACTGCTTCCAGGGTAGAAGGGAAACACTAACAAAAGAATTTGTAGCTGAATTTTAATAAAAAATATAGAAGCATCCACTGCAAGTTGATTGCTTACAATTAAAATGGCAATGTTCAGTTTGCTGTGTCTGGTACAGCTTATTAATATTGTTAGCAAAATAAACTAAATAACACCAAGTTTTGGGACCTACAGTATAAGACACTCAGGGGTGGGCTTCAGTGGCATTTCTAGGGAGGGAGCCACCTCCTACTTATTTTTAGACCAAACTTAAACGCTTGCACTGTACCCCTCCTCTAACCTCAAGGCCTTGGTCCACCACTCAGGGCACTAACGTGTGATATTAATGAAGAGATCTTCATGTATTATACAGGCAATAAAAAGCCAAGAGAGCTTTGCTTACCTTCTCCCGACAACAAAGACCGTTCACCACCTGATGACCTTACTGTTAACCCTGCATCAGACTTCCATGGATTTCAGAAACATTTGTTATCCAGAAAAATGGAAACCATCCCGTTACAGCCATTTTATTGTAACATTTGTACCAAACTTGATGTAGAGCGACAATTTTTGGATGATTACCGATTACTTGGAGAGAAAATTGGCCTCAGTAGAGATGAGATCACATTACTTGGACAGAAGGGACAGCCAACTCATTGCATGTTACAGAAGTTTAAATCTCAAAAGAATAGTTGTGTTGGAAGATTTAAGAACATTATGGAGGACATGGACAGGCATGATATTGTTACTGTTATTGATGAATGGATAAGCCATGAGTGGGGAAAAGAAAATAATTCAGCAGTCACATTAGTTTAAATTATTTTACAAATAAATGTTCAATTCTTTAATACCATTTGAGCATGTTTGAAGCAAATGTTTGCATCAAACATTATGAATTACAGTCAAACCTCCATTAAGTGGTCACCCCCGGGAATCGGCCAGGTGACCTGCTTAATAGAGGTTTTCTAAAAATAAGCCCATGCCAGAAATTGATCTAGAGGGCTAAGATAAATCACTCTATACACAATTTGTTGTTCACCACAACAGAAACGGGAAATATAGTAAAAGTATTTGGAAGTTCTGAGGAGTTCACCCCTACACAAACATTTTTAAGTAATTTCGTTCATTAAGAGAAGTGTCTTTCCAATAAAGCACATCATCGGCAATTTTATGATCTCATTTAACATGAATGAGGCCAATAAACAGGGGAAAGGTCAATGTTATGTTAGGTTTGATGACCTGTAAAAGAAACTGGACATGCTTCGCTTATTATCTTGTCAAAAAAATATGCCATTTATTGATTGTTATGTTACAAGGTAACCATTTAACAGAGGTAAATTACAATTAAACAACTCTCCAAGTTGCAACCATTTTAGTCGTCATGGTGCCTAGAATTTTGAAGCTGGTGACTTGATTTGTAAAAAAGTCTCCCTAAACCAAAACAATTATTGGTCGCCAAATGGCGACCAAGCAAAAACTTTAATTTGGGCGCTTGTTATATAAGCCATTTGGGAAATCTAAACGGTGACCATGTCCACTTAATAGAGGTGAAATTTACAGTAAATATGGGAAGCAAATTTTGGAAAATTGGTAGCTGACCCCTTAATAGAGGGTGGCTTAATAGAGATTTGACTGTACTATATTAGCCTAAAGGAAATACTTTAAAATGTGACAGTGGATTTAGACAACATTGCACATAGAAAAAATTAAAAAATTGAAAGGAAAATAATTTTCATAGACATCACAATTTTGTAGTCTATTTATAATATTAATTCAATGCAATAACATTTCTCACTGTACTTGCTTTCCTACTTTGTATTATGCTGTTGCTGTGCAGTACATGTAGTTGGTGTTTTTTTAATTAGACAGTCTGTACAAGCATATTATGTCTCTCAAGCAACTGAGTCCTTTCAGGACCTTTTGGTAACTTTACTTTAAGCTGTTTATAATGTTTGTATATATTATACAGGTAAAGGAGGTTGTTTTACTGACCAATTTTATTTTCTTATTTTATTTTTTGATATTTTTCTCATATATCTCTAAACTATTTTTCATCGAGGGATGTTTTTCTACAGTGCATTTGTAAACATGCAGTCTGTTTTAATGCTTGTTGGGGATGCTTAACAAATAGTAACTTTTCAAACACAAATTTTAAAGAAATAACACATTGTTTGTATTATAACTATTTAGGCCTAATTTTCGTTATATTGCCTGTAAAGGCTCATTTTCACTAGCAACGGAGTCAGAGTTGTTTATCAGAAGCGTAGAACTTTACAATCAAGTGAAAACTAGGTTGTCAGAGTCGCAAGCAGAAGCAGAAGAACTAAACCAGTCACAAAGCGTGGGAATTTCCATTGTGTTTGGTTTATCCTTCAGCTTCTGCTTCTGACTACAATAATCCAGTTTTCACAAGATTGTAAGCGACAGAGTCATATAAGTGGAGTCAGAAGAAGATGGAAACATTCTGATTCTTCTGACTCTGATTCAATCGTGCTTATGACTCGGCTTATGACTCTGATTTTTGGTTTTCACTGAGTCATAAGCGTTCTTAAGACTCCGCCTATGACTCTGACTACATTGCTAGTGAAAACCAGCCTTAAGAATAGGTACTAGTATTATAACTAAATTCAGTAATGTAACAGATTGATGGTGACCAACAATGTAATTTCAATTTCAATTTCTTACAATGGAATATTTTAGTAATCTTTCCTAAGATCAGACTCTATTTTCAGTTCGAAATTGGTAAATAAATTCCAGTCATTAAGGCAATTCATGTATTATAGAGGGAAAGAGACAGCTACTAATAAAACCATATTTAAAACGGCTGTAACTGAACAGTGCCACTAAATTTCAGTTTCTTCTTTCTTTAATACATTTTTAAAAGAAAAAATAAAGAAAAAAGGCCATAAAGAAAGAACTGTGAAGTGTCATGAATTGCCAACCAAACTTCAAAACATACGAGGCAGCTGATTTCCTTTGGCAGGATGCTCACACTTAATTAACATTTACATGTGCTATAAGATAATGACTGTTTGAAAGTAAACATGATAAGCTACAGTGTATAAAAATGAAAATGAAAATATTTGAAGATCTGTACAAGAAAGAACCCAGGAGGTTAATTATGACATATATTACTGTAAAATAAATAAATCAACAGCTACAATACTTTAAAATTTAATAAAGGCACATGTTTACAATATTTGAAGATGGTATAGGAAGAGCTTTGAAAAAACCAGAGTAAATTGATATCCACAGATTTCAAACCATGTCTTACCTAAATCATATGGAAACACCTGTACTTAAAAATGCTTTACACTTAGGACAGTGCTTTACCAATATTGTAATCTTTTGGAAAGCCACTGCATTGGTGATAAGATAACCACCATCCCCTGTTTTCTGGCCAGGATGAGGACGTGCACTCAACAGGGACACTCCACACAAAGCACAAATTTCTTCCTTTGGCTCGTAAACGGAAGGCCAGCCATCCCAACCAAGGCTATTTAGAACAGTCTGGCTATCCAGACACAAATGTCCAGTGCTGGCCACAAGATCCCTACTTTCCTTTTTTCATCCTTAGTTCCACACTTCTCAGAGGTGTGGAAGTGTGGAAAAGTCTGACAAAGTCAGATAATGTCACACTTTTCCCCCTGTTAAGAACCCCTTGTCATTCTTTACTTAGTACTACACTTCTCAGAGGTGTGGAAGTGTGGAAAAGTCTGACAAAGTCAG